AAAAAAAAAATACCTAAAAAATTAAACTTTTAACACCAACCCTAAAATACTATAACTCAAACCCTTGTTTATTTAATTTTCTGTACAGGTACTTAAAAAGTGACAAATAAAAGAACCCTAATAATAAAGCAACCCCCCAAAGACAGCAAAGGAGGGGGCAGCAGCTATACAGCAGCAGAAATTGTGGTACCCCACCACTGTGCAATTCACACTAATGAAGCACAGTGAATACAGGGAGGGTACACAGTCCACTCTCTGCAGCTCACCACACTGCAATTCACTGTAATGTAATAGTGGCACAATACATCACTGCATATAGCACTGTGTATGTAACACTGTACAGAGGTAACCATCTTTCCCTAAAAATCGCTCTGTCAGCTGTCCCTGTAAACTCCAATTCCAACACGCAGACGAAAGACTGATGGGAAAGTTGACTTTTATAGGAAGGGGTTGGTACATTTTCAGACCTGCATTATTGGCCATACTATGGCACCTAACCGAAGTTAACTTTTTTCCCAAACTGTGAACATGTAAAGTTCAGGTCGATCTCGAAACACAAATTGCATTGTTTTCTGTTCTAATTCAATGAATATTAAAATTAATTCTATACACAGGATTGTTGTCTGTTTTACATATTACCGAAATATCTGGTTCTATGTACATGAACTGGGCACCCCTGTGGCAAATCGGTTGTTTTGTACACCTTTCTATTACCTTGACACCCGTACTGAAACAAAGACAGGGTCCCTGAGCATTAAGTGTGACCGCAGACTTACCTAGGAACCTATGTGGAGACAGAAGTATTCTCCATAAGGCTCAACTTCAGGGTGTGTTACAATTTTGATGGTTAATTGTATCCTCTCAGATGTAAGTTACCCATAATGGTGTTTGCACTTCCATTTATCATTTCTACTCTTTTCGGTGTGTTTGTTTTTAGAGGGTTTTTTGCACATACTCTCCATGCTTTTTTTTTTACTTTGTTAGATTCACAAACATTGTGAATAGGGCATTTTAAAGAACATTTTTTCTTGACTCTTCTCTTTTTTTCTTCAGGTAAACCTTGGTCTATTGATCTTTTCCTTTGCTGGGTTCATCCTTCCAGGATATTTAATCTTTTATCGGCACCGCTTGCTCCAGGTTCATTCAACACAAAAAAAGGTCCAGCTGCTGTCCAACTGCAAGAACCAAACTGTCTCAATGGGGTGATGGAAGGAGAGATTACAGAGATTACATCTTAGGCATGCAATGGATTCTGCATTTGCCAAAGAGACATGCTGCAAGATAATATAAGGGAATGGCCATTTATGTTTTTAAGTATTTATCATAAATTTTAAAAAAGGTCGTGTCCTTCTGTTTTTTTGGGAGGAAGCGAGGTCTGTTAAATCCAGGGAAAGATGTATAGAGTTACTGACGTTTCTTAGATGGTATGGACAGGTGCAAGATTTATGTGCAAGAGTTATGTTAAAGGAGTTCTAAAGTTACAGCATATAGTATTGTTTTATAATATCAACATTGTAATAGGAATACATACTATAGTTGCTTTTTGATAATGCAATCAAAGCTTACTTGAAACAATTCCTTGTATTTTTAGTGAGTGCTACCTTCTGTCTGCCCATCATTTGCAACACCTTCCTGGATTCCCAGTGTACTTTGCATCTCTTTACCTGCTGCTTGATGTGATGCAATCTCAATTTTTTTTAACAATATATAGTCCATAATGCATTGCTTCCAGCAAGCAATGATAATGTTACATTGTTCAGATGTTGACTTGTAGTTCAGAAGGCAGGCTTTATGGGAGTTTGTATCACAAGGAAGTGCATATTCACAGGGCTGAGTGAAATTGTGTCAATGCATTGAGGAAGTAAATCCTATGGTCATCTTCATTAAGTAAGTTTACAAACTTCTAGATCGGTATGGCTATTGGGAGTGGGATAGAACTTATGGAAATTGAATAGAAATACATAAGCTATCCTTGTTCAAAACTTTTGAAACTTTTGAATTTGCCACAAAAACAAAAAATGTCAATGGTATCTTAATGGTATATACAAATAAAAGGAATCATAATACAGTTAAAGTCAGCAAGTGATTCTAAAAAAAATGTCTTTGTTGGAAAAATAGCATACAGATTTAATTAACCTCTTGCTGTCCGCCCGTAGTAAAAAAACGGACGGACGGCACTGCAGCATCTGCGGGTTGCCGTCTAGACCCCTAATATCTCCATAAAGAGGACCTGTCAGTGTGCCTTTGCTATTATATAGGGGGTTGTTATCCCCCTATATAATAGCAATAACAATAAGTGCAAAAAAAAAATATAAAAAAAAAAAAAGAAAAGTAACACATAAAAAAATAAAATAAAATAAAAGCCACATATAAAAAAAGGGGAAAAAACCCCCCCAAAATGTTTAACTCCCCCACCCCCACGTTTACGCGCCTATAAACGTAAATACGCGTCCGGTGCCCCAGCGCGCAAAAATTACAATTGCGCTACACATGTTACATATCGCCGCGAACGTCGCAGTGAGAGCAATCATTTTAGGGCCATCAATCACTGATAACACTAAACTGATGAGCGGTAACAGCTTTTAAAGCGTCGCCTAGGGCCAATTTTGGGTATTATCGTTTTTTGAGGTTTCGCGCGCGCACGCAATTTTAAGGCTTGACATGTTTAGTGTCTTTTTACCCGACGTGACCCCATCTTTTATATTTTACCAAAAAATTGGGTAATAATAAATGTTTTATCATTTAATATAGGGGAAACTGTTTTTTTTTTTTATATTTCGGTAATTTTTCCTTAATATAGTAAAAAAATAAAACCCCCAGTGGTGAATAAATACCACCAAAAGAAAGCTCTATCTGTCCCCAAAAAAGGGTATAAAATTCATTTCAGTACAGCGCTGCATGACGGAATAAATGTCAGTCAAAGTACCGCAGCGCTGAATACTGAAAAATGGCCTGGATGGGAAGGGGGTTTAACACCGCGGATGTCAACTGGTTAAGAGATGTTTCAGGTAAAATATTTTTTTTTCTGTCTTTCAATTACTCAACACTCCTTTGCTATGACAATATTAGCCACCTGCTACACACACCATGCTTGCAGTTTTTTGGGATGTTCATCTTACCATAAATCTATTCTCTTTTTCTTCAATATCTTGAATGATAGAAAAATCTGCATTATTATGATATGCATAGGATAAGTATAGTAACAGGTGTTCCTTAATTACATAGGTTGAAAAAAGACAAGTCCATTGAGTTTATTGAATAAAAAAAAAATATATTAAATAAGTTGAATACCTCAATATACAGAGCCCTATACACACAGGAAGGCAACCGATTATGGTCCATATTGCTACAAAAGGGGAAAAATGTCAATCATATATTCCCTGGATCAACAATCTCTGATGATATTACTTTAATTTTTAGTTATAGGTACAAATGAAAAGTCATACATCTGCCCCACTTTTAGGTCCCTGCCTCCCATACGTCTTCAGGTGTTAACCTGTAGTGCAGTCTGCTGTATAAAAGGTGCCCACACACCTTACAATTATCGTACGATAATCGCAAGGTGTGTGGAAGGCGTGCGACTGTTTCTACTGTACGGTCGCACTACTTTTGTCTTACGAACATGTTTGAAAACCAGCCGAGAATCGTACGATTTTCGGCTGGTTTGTGGCATGCTCGTAAGATAATTGCCGCACGGACCGGTGTGCGCAAGTGCACACTGCCCGTTCAGCATTGCGGTCATTGGAAGCAAGCCCCTCAGCGGGGCGGGCTTGCGATTATCGCAAGTACGATCTGCCTGTCCAAGATGGGCAGATCGTACGTTTTTTTTTTTAATGACCTTACAACCATCGCAAGACAAAAGTCTTGCAATGGTTGTAAGATCTATGGGCACCTTAAGGGCCTGTGTTATTGGGCTCATTTTTGCTTTAAGCTGGTTTTACATTCCAGTACCAGTCTATGGGAATGTAAAACCCACTTCAAGTAGGTCCTAATTGTGATAACATGGCACTATTTATGAAGAGATCAAATCAAACACTCTCAGCATCTCCTAATTTATCTCTTTGACTTTTTTATTTACCTATTTGTAGAAAGTAGGTGCTATTTAATTTCTATATAATTTTACTGGTTTTATTACTAGTTATAAACGCCACAATCTCAATGTCCTATTCCTTCTACAAAGTCTGATCCATTTATTAAACAGGTGAAAATAATTTTCAATTTATTTAAAAGGAGACCTGCATGTAGACAAACTGAGCTGCTTTGGCTGACCCTCTCCTAAAAACCATAGTTGCCCAGATGTCATGCTCATCCAATGGTCGTAATGCTCTGAATGATCACAGGCTCACAAAGTAGTAGGGGGGTACAGGAAATTAGCATTTCAAAGGACATCAGTAAAGGCAGTGCCCACTTTTTTCTCAATACAGGTTTTTATTAATTGTGAACATTTTGGCATATTTTTGCAACTGTATACAACATGTAAATTGCAATATTTTCAATGAATTTATGCCAGGTCAAATATGACCACCACTACTGTGATTAAAGTGACATTAAACCCTCAGATTTTTTAACATAAACCAATACTGTAATGTGTGCCTTACTGTAATCCATGGTTGTTTCCCTTCTCTTTGCTGCTCTTCCTTTTAAATCCTCATGTCTTCTCATGCTTGGGGAGAACTTCCCTTTTCAGCTCAGGGCCTCTTCCTGTAGTGCTGGCTCAGGTTACAAGCCTATACAAACGTATACACAGACACCGTGTATCCATTCCTGAGACAAGGCAGTCTGCTGCAAAACAGAAGTTCTGCCCAGCATGAGAGGAGATACAGATTTAAAAGGAAGAGCAGCAAAGAGAAGGGAAACAACCATGGATTACAGTAAGGCACACATTACAGTATTGGTTTATGTTAAAAAATCTGAGGGTTTAATGTCACTTTAAGGCTGAACTCTGCAGACAAGACAGTTTTACATACATGTAAGCTCTCTTTCCTGCGTAATTCTATTGAACTATTCATACCATCCATGTCAGACAGGACAGGAGTTACCTCCGTTATTTCAACTACAGTAAAGCAATACTGATTGGCCAAGGACCCAGTAGTAGCTAGTCATATTCAACTTATACTGTAATGTTTAAGATATTTTACAGCTTACCCAAACCACTTCTTTAGTTCTAATGAGTGTCTAGTAAATACCTCAGTATTTATAGCCACCTATAATGCCATTGTAATATCTCTAACCTGGCGATTCCACAGCTCACACCTTTAAAGAACTCAAGGATTTTTACATTTTAACTGGAAGAGTTAAGTGGTTGTTTGTTTAGGGAGCAAAAATGAAGAAGAAATACCCGATTCTAGGTACCATCTGGCTGCTAGGCTGGTCCCTGCAGCCTCTTCTTCCCCAGGCTCTGACGCTCTAAGGACCTGTGATGTTATCACATCTAATGCAGTCCATTAGCATGAGGACCTCCAAGGGACATACCACAGCCGAGGCAGTGAGAAGTGGGAGGTGAGTGATTACTGCCACAGGACTGAGGATCTGGTGAATATCTCTTCTTTATTTTTTTCCCCCAGACCAAAATGAGCACTTAGCCCTTGTAGTGCAGGGATAGCCCCACTGCCAGGATTATTTTTAATAATCCTGGAGTTCTTCTTCAACTATGTAAACTAAATGATTAACACCTGTTGCAGACTCTCTAGCACCAAGGGATCAAATTATGTAATTGGAACAGGGTGTTTCTAAAAATGTGTACACCTCCCATCTTGTTCTTGGACAATCATCATTTGCCTGGACACATTCCATTGTGACCAGGCCCGGCGCTACCGCAAGGCAAGTCAGGCGGCCGCCTGAGGGCGCTGCAGGGTGAGGGTGGAAAAATAGGGCATTTTGACAAGTACTTGTACTTGTCAAAATGCCCCGATGTTTGCGCTATGTTTTGTTGTTTTTTTTTTCACTTACCTTCGATGCGGGAGAGCAGCGGCAAGTCAGCGCTGGTCCAGTGGGAGAAGCTCCAGGTGGGGTCCTAATTTAGCTGGTCGGCGACTGCCAGAGGATCCCGACACGCGCGGCACCTCAGGCATTCGCTGGCCAGCTAAATTAGGACCCCACCTGGAGCTCCTCCCACCGGACCAGCGCTGACTCGCCGCTGCTCTCCAGCGCCGAAGGTAAGTGAAGAAAAAAAAAACCATAGCGCAAACATCGGGGCATTCTGACAAGTTCAAGTACTTGTCAAAATGCCCTGTTTTTACAGGGGGTCGGGGAGGGAGGGGGCGCAAAAATGCACCTTGCCTGTGTAGGCAAGAATCCTAGCACCGGTCCTGATTGTGACTGGATTAATGTGAGTAATCTGTGTGACTATAAATGCTAGGATATGTTCCTTACAATCTTTAGAATTGAACAAGTGATTTGGATAAACTGCAAAACATTACAGAACACATCCATCTGAATCTGGCTAGCTACTACTAGCTCTGTGAGTATATCAGTTATTCATATTATATGATTTTTTTTGTATAAGTGTTAAATGAAAAAAAGGAAAGAGAAATGACCTGTTTAGAAAAGTTGGACACACCAAATATGTGCCTAGAATGAACAAAATTATGTAGAAGTGATATATAATACGTGTTCAATGTTTTTTTGAGTATTAAGAGTTTCTTAAAGTATATTAAATAAAACATATACTAGCTTTAAATATATGTAAATCCTAACAATGGACTGCTCCTATTTGCTACCTTTCTGGTCTAGCATATCATACGCAGTGTTTTGTTACATCTGTTCAATAAGTGCAAAAATATATCTGTTGATCCTGCCAGAAATGTTGTGAGCTCATTTCTTTCTGTGCTCTTTGTCTGTGCTATCAGTTAGCAATACCCGTCAATTTCTCTGGACTACAAAACGGAAAATTGTATCATACTTACCGGTAATTTTCCTTTCCCTGGTGTCTATCCATGGCAGCATACCTGCAATAGGCCTCACCCCCTATCCCACCTACGGACCAGTTAAAATCTATAAAAGTGAGAGAGTGACTCCCCCTAGGCCTTCAAGTATCTAGCCTCCAGAGTATCCATGGATAGGCACCGGGAAAGGAAAATTACTGGTAAGTATGATCAGGGCAGCCATCAGAAATTTCGGGGCCCCTTACACGGCTTTAGGCTAGGGCCCCCCCCCTGGGCGGGAAGCAGGTGCGGCATAAAGCGTGTGGTGCGTGTGGAGCCGCAAAACAGGGGCAACTAATCGAAAGCTAACTAATTGACGATGGAAAATGTTGACAACATTTTCCATCATCGATTTTGCAGCACCAACAGTTGTTGCAGCCCCGGTCCCATCAGTCTCTGTACAGAGAAGCTTACACTATAATGCCCCCCGTCACATCAGTCTCTGTACATAGCAGCTTATACTTATACATTATACTTAAACTTATACATTACCTGCTGGACGCAGGGCTTCGTAACCCACTGGACGCAGGGCTTCGTGACCCACTGGACACTAGACATGTGCACCGGCAAAAAAATTGTTTAGTTTCATGTTGTTTTGATTCGGATTTTGCGTTATTTCGGGATTCGGACGAAATTCGTTAGCGGTATTCGGTACGAATGTTAATTTCCGTTTCATGTTCGTATCGTTCGTTTCATTGCAGCAAAGTGACATTAACATTTTTTTTTTAAATTGTCACTATGCCAGTGCGTTTGGGTGTGGTGCAATAAAAATGCTGCAAGCACCATTTTGATCGCACCGCACTCGAATGCACTGCAGGCACAATGTGCCTTGCGATCCCTTGCGGGCGATCGCATTGCGGCTGGAGGGAGTGGCTACGGTGCTATTTACTTCAATGATGCTCAATTTGTTGTGGGGCGGGATGGGGCGTGGCGGTGCAGTGAAGTGAATGGCACCTCAGCCATGCCCTCTGGCCCACAATGCGATTGGCCGCACGGGAACGCATGGCACATCAATGCCGGCATTCCGGTCTGGTCAGGTCAGAAAAAAATAGTGCTTGCAGCCTTTTTACTGATGTGCCTTGCGTTCCCGTGCGGCCAACCACATTGTGGCAGGAGGGTGTGGCTATGGTGCCATTCCCTTCACTGCCACGCCCCACAACAAATTGAGCTGGCCGCAATGCAATCCAGTTTGTTCAGGTCGCAAGTGGGCCGGAATGCACTGAGGATGGTGTGAACTATCCCTTAAGGGCCCATTCACACCAATTGACTTCAATGCACCGCCATAGCCCCTCCCATGCTGTGTGGTGTCTTAGGGCTTGTTCACATCAACGGCGGTGTGTTCAGAGTCGCACACTAAACTCTGCCCTTCTTTCTAGGGCGGGAGGGGGCAGTGCATTGAAGTGAATGGCACCGCAGCCATGCTACCCCCCAGTGCAATCAGACGGGTAGCAAAACATTGCCTGCGTTCCAGTCCAGTGCCAACGCAAGCGGCATTTTTTTGTGTTGGCACTGGACCGGAACGCAGGCAATGTTTTGTTACCCATCCAATCGCACTGTGCCCCCTCCTGCCCCAGAACGAAGGGGGGAGCTTAGTGTGCAATTGCTGTGCATTCCAGCAGCTACCGCTCTGGAACGCACCACAGTTGGTGTGAACGGGCCCTTAGAAGTGCTGTGCGGTGGTGTGGTGCACTGGGCAAAAAAAAAAGAAGTGTACTGGCACCTCACTGGAAAATTGTGTTCCTGCACTGCATGTGGGAGAAATCCAGCATTTGTGTGGGCAGTGGGATGATTAGAGAAATTGTGATTAATAGTATATATACTTTTTATAATAAGCTTGTGTGTGTTTTACTTAGGGCTTGTTTACACCAATTGCGGTGCGTTCCAGAGCGGTAGCTGCTGGAACGCACCGCAATCGCTCACTAAAACGTCCCCCTGCGTTTTGGGGCGGGGGAGGGCGTGGCAGTGCATTGAAGTCAGTGGCACCACAGCCAAACCCCCCTGCCCACAGTGCGATCGGACGGGTGGCAAAATATTGCTTGTATTGTGTTCCACTGCAAACCCAAAAAAATAGAGCATGCAGCATTTTCTGTGTTTGCAGTAGAACAGAACGCAGGCAATGTTTTATGTATCTTTTTTTTTTTTTTGGAGCAAACATATATAAGCGTACATAGCAAGCAGGGGAAACAATTCCCAACGTAGAAGCAGTGGACGCAGCCACGGAACAGATACAATGCAATAAAAAGAAAAATGGAGAATACATCATATTGCAAACTTTAAGCTTTCACAACCCTATGGCCGATAGACTTAATGAAGGCCCCCTTTGATCTTACGCCAGATCGTGTGCAGACTATACTGTGGGTTCGCGGGAGGGTCGTGCGATCCCATTATGGGTCCTCGCACATCTGAGTGGAACGCCCTAGGCGGAGGGGGTCCTGCCCACCTCCACCAGCTCAGCTCATCGCCCATCCATGGCATAACTCGGTGCGGCCCCTTCTTCGGGACGCAGAAGCGATCTGGCGACAGGTAAGTCGCCAGGATCGCTTCTGTTGTAAAGCCGACAGTCGGCTCTACAAGTTTAAACAGAGTCCCGGCGGCAAAAGTCGCCGGGAGTCTGTTTAAACAGCCCCGATGCTGGCGACGTACACTGTACGTCGTCAGTCACGAAGGGGTTAAGAAGGGGTTAAGGGGGGCCCTCAGAGGGGGGGCCTGTGAGAGTGTGCTGGTTTGATTTTTTTTTACTCACAAGCTCCTTGGTGTGTGGAGAGCTGAGAGGAGAGCTAGCTGGCCTCTTGGAAAGGTCCTTTGAATGCAGAGGTGAAGTGCTGTTGTTGTCATCCATGTCAGAGTCCTGGCTGCCGCTGTGTGAGGAGCGAGATCTGTGTGAGGTAAACACAGGAGCTGCACCTGCGCCATCTTGTCTCCCTGCTGTCCTGTGAGGAGGATAGTAGTCTGTGAGCCTGAGAGGTCCTTTCTGCTTATTCTTTCCCTTAGTCATGCTGATCAATGCAGCGGGGAGTAGAACAGGCAGGTTAGGGAATCTGAAGTTGCGTGTGTGGTTGTTGTGAGTCGCTTACAGAGGGATGTCTTCGAGAGCCTCAAATCATGCAGCCATCTCTGTCTGTGGCCAGGCCACGCCCCTGTCTCCGCAGGCAATGTTTTGCCACCCCTCCGCACTGCGGGCAGGGGGGCGTGGCTGGAGTGCCACTGACTTTCAGAACGCAGGGGGAAGTTTTGTGAGCGATTGTGGTGCGTTCCAGCAGCTACCACTAGGGTTGCCACCTGTCCAGGATTCACCCGGACAGTCCGGGTTTTGAATGCTGTGTTCGGGTTTCATGGCAGCAGAAACCCAGATGCAAGATGTCAGGCAGACAGGGGCAACCAAAATTAGGATTGGGGCTACTGGCCCCCCACTAAATGCTGCATTGGCCCCTCACTCAAGTACCTGCTGAAACCCTCTGATGGCTGCGGAATTTCGATCGCGACCCCCCCCCCACTCACTTGCGCGACCCCACATGGGGTCGCGACCCACAGATTAAGAAGGTCTGAGCTAGATCAACACTCCCCCGTACACCCCCAACACCCCCTGCCAGAACCCCTGAAGTGTTGTGGAAATTTTACTGGTATGTGTTTTTAGTGTAATATTGTCATCATGTCTCTCAGTGTACCCGGATTTCTGCGTCACGCTCGATTGGAGCGTGACCCGGATTATTCGGCACTGGGAATAAACCATTGGAGTGGATATGCGTGGTGGAGCAATGTTCTCTTAGCGAGTGTGTGGATGCCAAGCTAGGGCCCCTGCACAGTGCGCGGATTTATTGGCGTGGATGCATTTGCTATGAGAACATAGTATTACTTAAGATACATATCTGCCTTTTTGAAAGGAACGTGCGTTGGTATTTCTGATTTGTCTGATCAGCGCGCTGGAAGTGGTATGGCATCGCAGATAAGCTCCCATCTATGCGAATCATAATAACTTTATTGGGCATTGCTCACTGAGCAATGCTGGATAAAGTTCGCTCCAGTGTTAACGGGAGATTAAAGATGGCGTCGTCCATGTGCAAACATGCTGCTTCCTTTGTGTAAGTGTTTTTGGCGGGAAATCCATTGTTCACAAATGTGCACGTGAAACATGAACAAGCAGCTGGTAACTGTGCACGGTGCTTCACATGCATGAGCATACACTCCCCTTTTCCATCGTCTATTCAGATGTATACATGTGTTTAATTGGCTGGCTCTGTATTCTATTGTTGTATGAGGAAGTGGTGGCTGTTGTGGCCAGCACTTCCTGTGTTACCCCTATAAATAAAAAATGTCTTCCTCAAGTGAGGAGGACAGCGACTGAGGATCTGACGAGACAACAGCGAGTGTCCGTGTTTCCTTGCTGAGCATGTTCAGCCAAATTACACCGGGAGAGCAGAGAACTGTGCTTTTAAGCGCAGCGGATTTAAATACGATATTAATTTCTATAACAAATGGCGAGTCAC